TGACAGTTTCACAAACTTACAGAAATGCTGTCTAAACAGCGGGCCTTTATCCGCTTCAGATGTTTGGCTCCAATAAATAAATGATGGTAAGTAAGTTGCTTCTGAACGTGATGACTGACCATTCGTTTTATCTGATCTGTCCATCTTAGTTGTTTGTACATCAGGGCACGTCGATCCCAAAGATTTCTAGTGGTACATGAGAGAATGTTCTGTGACAGATAGAGTCCAAGCCCCTCTTTAATCCTTCACTTATTCTCCATTTAGTGCAGACAGTTCAAGACGCTAATCCAGGATGGCCAATATATTGCTGCCGCATGTTTGTTGACCACGGCCAATTCAAGGGTTTAGAAGTAGGCAACCAGGTTTCCAAGTGGATGTGATGACAACTGTTAACCACTCAGAAAGTTTTTCTCGCCCAGATTCTGGTTGAGAGACTAGTTGAGAATGCTCACTAAAAAGACTAGGAAAATCCCTCACGATAATAAAATTGGTACGGTTATTGGCTTCATATCAGTTCAGTTTAAACAACCAGGATTCTTGCACTATAGGGTTGTTCTTTCCAAATCCGATTCCACATCACCTTCAATTATCCTGTAATATTACAGACAAGTGGAAAGTTTACTATCGTTACTATCTTTACTATCTTTAGTTGACCGGTCAACCAAGTTTAAACAAAGCAGCTACGTGGGTTGGATAACATCTAAGCTATTTGATCTTCTGACTCTTAGGATATTACGTCTTATACTTCTGTCCCTAGTGAGAGATTCCAAGGTTTCAGACATCGAGCTGCGAGTGACACGTACTTGGCCTTTCTGGCTTTCGGCTTGTACCGTTTTGGCCATTTAATAACTCGCAACTCTTCCTGGTGCTTTGTCTCAATCGTCCAAACAACCTGATTGTTGATACTGCCAATAGCAGGTGCATCGTGGGCCAAATGTCGGTCCGTAAAAAGTGGTTCGACCATATTCGACGACGCTGAGGGTCAGGGTAAACCACTTGATAGCAAGGATGTGTACATTTCTGGCTGACATTCTACAACCCATCCACTATAAGGAAAATCAGCAACACTTCTTGTCGCCTGAGGAAACACCTTGAAATCCCAGACCCTTGGACCAGCAAACGGCATAAATCCACTCCTAAGTGGCTTAGCGTTACAATTTTTCCTGCCAAGTAGACCTTTTCTGTCCTTTCTTTAGCTGCTTTCCGTTATAACTTACAGCTCACTGAAGCCTAAAGGACCAAAGTTTCGGTCTATGTGGCTCGCAGAATAGCCTGACAAATACGACTAGGGGTTACCTCTAGGTACCCGTCGTTGCAAGTGTTCGTCAATAAAAAAGTTTTGAATTTGAAGTTTTGAAACGTTGAACTTACTTATCAAAGTGGACGAGCTAGGCAAGGTATTTTAGCTTCATCTTTCCTCAGTCAGAAGCTCCTCATAGTTAAACACGGACAGGCTTTATAGAATATCCAGGTCTAAATCAAGCTGCCTGTGATCACAATCCATCTGCCACAGAATAAAAAATGAGTAGTGGGTCACCATTCTCTCAAACAGTATCAGATTATGGATTTGATACACTAAATGATTTCACTATTCTGGTTTCTTGAGTATGATGAAAATGGCGCGATGTGCAACAACAAATTGTATATGTGTTTTTGTTGGCTGCATCTCGATCCGGCTTTAAATGTTGGCCGTTTTCCTGGTCTTGAAGGATTCGCTTGTGTTGTATCTCAGGTGCAAAAGAGACAGCCTTTTTAGCAAGGAAATTTTAGAACGGCTGTGACCCAAGAACAATTCAAAACATTTCACACAACTAGAAGTTAGATGTCACTCAGACCTACCTGAGCATGTAGCGCGTTGTTCCTATGTTTTTAATGACTATTATCTGGGTTTCCTTACAAGTAATCGGTACGCTACTCATTAGTCATAGATAGATGATGGCTTCCTGGGTAAGAGCAACGAGTAAAAATGCGCTTGGAAGCAAAGACAAAAGGATAACTGTTGGAGCTGAGGTACACAAAGTGCTCTCCTAATTTCAAAGACGGTAAATTTTGATGTCTTTCCGCACACACAAGCGGAGATATAGTAATCTCCTATTTGCCGTAGATTCACCATATATAATAATTCTCAGTCAAAGAGTAGTCTTAGATAGCAAGGGACACATGAGGAAGCTGTAGCACAATTCTAAATAAGACAGTTTGTCACCACTTGAAGAAATGTTCCAAATCTATTTAGCTAACAGTGTACAAAAATGCATAACCATAATTTTTCCATGCCAGCGTAAGTAAGCATAAAATCCGAGTAAAACTAATGAATGCCCAATGATCAAATCTGCCCTTAATCAAAAAGAACGAAAAGTTAGATCAAGTATAAATTACAAAAGTTTTGAGAGACTACGACAGAGCATATCAGGCCTATTTTGTACAATCTACTGTGCTGCATCTGTTAAGATAAAAACAATGATTAAAGGCACTTTGTAAACTGTAACGTCCAGCCATGCTTAAATATAATACTTCGGTAGGCAGTCAATTAGCAGATGCCCAATTACGCCGGTCACAAATCAACTTTTAGCCGCAGAAAAATGCCTCGATACGCTTAACTAGGCATTTTATTGATTTATATATTTTGTTCCAGAAAGCTAAGGCTATAAACAGTATACAGACGGGATACTTCGAAGCACTTCACCAATGCGGCTGGCCAAATTCTAGTGAATTATTTGGTTCTGTCACCTTCTGTCCTTTCAAATTACTCGCCACATCCGTGGAAAAGACAGTGTCTTAAAACAATAAAAAGTGGCTCCATTAGTGGCCCAAATGTTCCAAATCACCAAAAGTAGAACGTTATCACTTGGTTTTCTCTAAAGAGAACTTTTTATAACGTAGTCAATTTTTGTTATGGCAAACTAAACGTACTCGGCACTTTGCTGAATGTTAGTGTTTTGTTGTGTTTTTGTGTACACTTTCCGTCTGATTACAAATTAAATAGCCTCTATAGCACTCAGCTCCACTGCAGCCGCAATAGACACACGTGTGAACTATGGTCCGACATTGACGTTTTCTCCTGTTCAGGCATGGAAACCCATGCAATATCTAAACCGTCGAGGTCCATCGGTGGCATAGAAGCTAGGTCCCAAAATTATTAAAGCTAGAATATTTACTTTTCCAGAAGAACCGGTAACGGAAGCCCACATGCGTCACAAGGCTTTCTAAGCGTTGTGCTTTTGTACTCTATCCTCAGTGTGTATACATCAATTCAAAAAGTTCATGACTGCCTAGATTAGAATTCGATGTTATATTTGTATCATATACTTTTGAGCTAATGGTTCGCATATCTTGCTGAAAATTTGCTTTCCTCGACAGCGTATTTGGCTTTGGAGTTTTTGCCTGCTTAGTAAAGAACCCCCTAGATATGTCAGTAAATGTGCGGATGAAAATGTAGGTAATACATTCCTCAGATTTTCTAAAGAAACGAATGATCATAAACGATTCGCCCACACAACAAACCAACTAAAATACGGGCTTCTTGCCTTTGGACGTGCATACTGGATGATGGCTCACCAAATATATGAACTAAGGGTTTTCTAGAAATCACAGTCCCCGAAAAAAACAAATCACTCAGCTGTGGCATTCCTCCATTGTCTAGCCGCTATGCTACCCGAAGGAAGCACGAGAGAAAGGATACTACCATGTTGCCCAAGCCTAGACATGGGAAGTCAGACAGAGATCGGGTTCCACGGATCTTCAAGCCAGTGAATTTCCGCGCTGAGTTCTGAGCCATCCCGCCTCTATAGCCCATGGGCAATTGTGTATTGAGCTATATTTATTAAAAAGGTGCCTACCCAGAATATCACTCTAATATACAAGCACGATATTAGTTAAGTGGTTTGTTAAACAACTCTTCGGAAGTACCATCAAGGCATCATATAAGCGCTCGGTGACCATGCTTGGAACGTGAAAAGTAATGTGTAACGTAAAGTCTCACTGAACCACCTGGAATAATACTGTGTAAGGTAAGGTAAGGATACTAGACCTGCAGTCCCCAGACAAACATTACTGCTAGCATGCGAAGTGGTTCCAGCATCCTGAAGCCAGGGTGAGAAAATTAACCTTAAGATATGTGCGGGCTGCTGAAAAGAACAGTGCCTGATCACCCATATATCAACACTGGTTTCGTATGCAGTTGATTGCATTCTGACCGAAGATCAATAAGATAAGAGTGGTATTAAAAGTTAGTCACAGGTTGCTGAATTTTTCACTGAGGTAGTGGTATTATGCAAAGTAACGGCCAGTATAATTCACCAGCACTCAAATATCTATAGTTTAGGTAAATTAGGTCCAACATTTAGAATAGACAAGTGTCGCTATGTGTGATATCCACGCAAATGTTTGAGACCGGATAGACTGCATCCAGACTGGTTACACTACCCGGAGGCATACCCTAACAGACCATTAAAATCGTGATAAATAGACTATTGAGGCAGTTATTCGTCTGCTCTACTAGAACGTACTTCAAAAATGAAACCTAGCATCCTTGTCCCCAATTTGCTCGTGGTTTTTTCTTGTGTAGAAGATGGGAAAATTTTGTAACACACCGATAAATCCACTAAAAATTCATCGATGGCATGCCAGTGGGCTCCTGGAGGGGTGCGGAAAGCTTCCCTATGGTCCTGTAGTTGTTAAGAAACAGTATAAAAAATAAATAAACAGATGAAGTGTGCGCAGAAGAGAAGAGGATTCTGAAGAATAAACTCAGAAAAGACAGTAAAAATTTCCGTCCGTCTCCTAGGGTATCGCATTTTGACAATAACCATGAAGCTTTCGGCATCGAGGCCAAATGATTAGTAAAAATGACTGGTGAAAGATCACGTCCATAAACATTTAAATCCTTTCAGGAATAATCATATCTAAATGAAATATTTCTCTTTTCGCAATGGAGTCTGAGCACGACGGATATTTTACCAAAAGAAACGGGCTAGAGTGCAGGCTCTTCATTAATATCGCACCTTACAAACGTAGAATAAGTGATTCCATGACGCGTTGTAGATCCCTGTCGTGAAGCTCATTTGCCTCGACAATGAAAACCGCCGAAACGACTGGTAATCCTTACAGTAAACTGAATTTTCCGGCAAGATGAAATCTGCTGAAATGAGCCAGCAAATTATGACCTACATTCTTCGTAACTTGTCCAGGCCGTGCATAGGAGAATTTGTGATAGTATTCCAATATAAATAACAATACATCTCATGTCAATCCAGAGAGGACAATGCAAAATTCCGTGGGCCCGCGAACCCCATTGTGTAATATGCACCCTATGGAAGCACCAGGGGACAGTGATTCTCCGAAGGCAAGTGTTCACGACAATTTCTGTGGATAGAAAACAGAAACAAAGCTCATGAGCCAAATCCCAGTAAGCAAGGTTGTACATCACCGCTACTTACTCAAGTCAATCAAACTGACAGATACCGAACTACAATTGCTAACTGAAGAACTTTTTGAAAGCACCGCGCTTAATGAGTTCAATGAAATTCATGTGCAGTCGGGCCAAGCCCAGTTCGGCCATTCCACAGTCTTCAAGAGTCCCCGACGGAGCCGAAAAATGGGTAGCATCTAAGCATCCCACACTGGCTCATGCCCACAATCTGACTGCTTGGATAAAGCATGGCATAGTGATGGGCGTAAACTATCTAAAGCTTTAAAGGACTCTTCGTGAGTTCCACGGATTTAGGTGATTTTCAGCTGATCCAGTTAAGTGAAGAGGTTCATGACAGTAGATTGAATAGGTATATGTACAAGGTTCAGTATAGGCTTAAAGTCAGATTTTTTACCTTGATTCAAGTTCGTAGGGCAGCCAAAACTGAAGGACTTTGTAGGACGCACTAGCGGCGTTGTCTGTAAAATTGTTTGGCACTAGCTGCTTGTCTGTAAAATTGTTTGGTTGGCCGGTACGTATAGCTAAAGGGATATCCATTATTAGCTGTTGCCGAGGCGATACGATTTTTCACAAATATGAAGAAACTGAAAGCTATCCATCTACTGCAATGACTGCTGTCGACATTTTGCATTCTCTGTTGGCTCAGGCCTTGGTTACACAAAGTCTGGCTGAACATATCCAGCATTTCCATTCTTGGTGCGGGTGGACGTGTTATATTGTCACCCATCTTTCAGTTACGGAACCCATGTCACGGAGTTGCACGTGCTACCTAGCTCTCCGAGTGACGAGATAAACAGACTGGTAGCTGTCCTCACGTACGGGAACGGTTGTGTCCAAATTAGCGAACAGGAATTCGCAGATAGATGTTTTGTGGGTTGCGTACTGTTGCCTTTTCTCAATAATCACGGACTAACTGCACTTTGCTTCTCTGCGTTTTGCAACGACTGCCTTCACTCAAGTGGTGAACTTTTTTAAAAGGACATCTGTATGCTACCATATAAGTTATTGTTTCCAGCTGTTGTGAATACTGTCTGACTGTCCTCGAGGGTTAATCGGGTGGTTAGTTATACATAAATTTTGTAGGGCTACAGTAACTGGCTGCACAAGTAACGGAAGCCTGTCTGCAAGAACTGGAACTCGACAGAAATAACTACGCTATACGACATACAGAACCATCGCAACACAGTAAAGTCTAAAGCCTTTAAAACAGATGGACATGCAGGAGCACTTTTATGTTGCGCAACGTGATATATGGGCGTGCCTTCGAGTCCAGGTTTGGCATGGGGGTCATAGCGGCACCTGAGGTTATGTAGTGTTTACTTGTCCAACGTCCCTATATCACGGCAATGAAAATGGAAACGTAGGCTTGAAAATGGGTCCCAAAATCGCCTGCGATAAGCAGCGTGTGATGGACGACGGATGTTCATTATCATGCTCAATGGCGTCGGGTTTTCACCATGGGGATTAGACTCGGCTCGTACTCACGTATGTCTTGATTTAATGATACGGCTCTGCAAAATCCTGAGAGTTATGGAAAAATACGGGCCGGCTTTACTAACAGTCCGTTGGTCATAAAAATTTCCCCAGCTCAACGAACATCTCAGAATTGAATAAGAAACATGTTCAAACTACGAGCCTTATTAACAGCCAACTCAACTTTGGGGGTTTAGACTAAGTCTCTTGGTTCCCGTAAAATCTTTGGAATAGACTCCATCCAATTTCATTTTCGAGATAAAAATAGCTTTGATCACCGTACCTTATTCTTGGTTGAATACCCTAGTAAAACTGAAAGTGAAATGTCGCGTCTATAGATTGATTCCAGCAATCTGTTGAACCACGTCGAGTTACGCGCAAAACCCCAAAAGCCAATCATTTCAAATGGAGGTTTATCTACAAATGCGGTACTATAAGTACAATAATAAAATGATAAAGCTTTACAAACCTCAAATCGTGGGACTATGCCGGCTTCTATACACCGGTTAAGGAACTGCTAATTCCTAATGGGTCTCAAGGTCCGCGCTGACTCGGAGCCACGTGTTTACAAGCTAGCGAAACCATGTGTGAACTTAAACGACACGTCCGATGACAAGGTCAAAGAACGGTTTATGTTCATGTCAAAAACAACAAGGGTGGTATAGGCACAGACCAAAATAACAAAAAAGGGGGAATCGCGATGTACAATATAAAGGGTAGAAGAAAGGAACCAACACCGCCCCCCAAAGCCAGCATGGCTCACCCTAATCTATCAGCTCAACCCACCGCATGCAAGAAAGAGATCAACGAGAATGGTATAATTGCTCTAGCCACAAACGCTTTCCTCAATCTGCAGCATGCTCCTAGGGTGGTGAGCAACTAGCTGTCTTTTACCCATTCCAGCAAGCAGATTTTTGTATGGCTTGTATTGCAAAAGAATGAAGTCTTATGCCTGATAACTGAGTAATTTCAAACGCGTTCATCGTGAAGTACAAGGACGCAACAAGGGTGCTTCCACCAAGAGTTTGTCCCCCTGCAGCTGAGGAATGACAGAGAACGTGTCAACCGTTCGTGGCATACCATATAAACGTGAAAACTCTTTGATGAAGGTGCTACTCGAATTGTCAGTTTTGGCCATAGTCTTCCATTTAACGGATACCACGACGCGGTTTTCGTCCATTCGTACGCACAAGTCGTCCGCAGTGAATTCCGGGTAGGCTGGGATCTCCACATGCAACTTTTCGCCTCCAGACTTGTCGTCCCTCAGAACAGTCGGTCTGAGAACACCAGTTATTTGGACTGCTAGTGCATCTTCGGATTTTCGCTTTTGTCCAG